CTGCAGGGGTAGCACTGATTCACTGGAAGGCATATTGATGAGTTGGCAAGATATTGGTGTTGCGCTGATGAGCGCTGGACTCAGGGAAACTTTGAAACACTTTGTATTCATATTTTTGATAATATAAGCTGTGAAACTCGGTTCTCATCTTCTCTACCTTTGTCTATTATCAGACTACTGTTCGATGTGTGTGGGAGAACGATGCATGGCATGTACACACTTGCATGAGATGGTCTCCAGGACCTATGCAATTTCGACATTTCCGTTTCAATTCGGTATTCGGACTTATAATTCGGATTTCTGTTTTATTCCGGTATGCTGTTTATTTAGGTTCCGATTAATTGATACTAATCCGATAATTTGTTAGGTTCGGATTTCTGATGTTAAAACGTGATTAGGGTTGAATCAGTATCCGTTGAAATTCGGCATTCTGATTTTTTATTCAGCATTCCGTTTTTGAGTTCGACACTTTGTTGTGAATCCTACATTTTGTTTTTCTGTTGGTATTTCTGTTTTTTCCTTCAGTATTGGAAAGTAGGGTTACAAAATTTTTGGTTGTTCGAGCAACTTGGGAATTTCGAACGTTTTGGAACTGTAATACCGAAAATTCCGCGGAAACACGGAAAATTAGGGTTGGGCCCAAAATTTTCGCGAATTTTTTTTTTTCTTTCCCCTTGTTGGAGAAATTCCGAAAACAGATTTAGGCCTTTCAAAATCGGATTTTGACGGTGGAAATTCCCAAAATTTCACGTTTTTGAAAATTCGAGTGTTTGTTTCTTTGGATTTTTTTCGAAATTTTGTTGGCTAATTAATCCGAATCTGACCCTCAAGATTGCGACTTCCGGGTAGTTCACTAATTAATGGTGAACTCCCGGACCATCATTGATCTCAAAGGATACCTAATCTTGACACAATTCAAATTCGTTCCTTATATTTATTACAAATATTGTTTATTGATTATCATTACGAAATCTTTATTGCAAACATTGTTTTATTGATTTTCATTAAGAAATCTTTATTGCAAACATTGTTTTATTGATTCTCATTAAGAAATCTTTATTGCAAACTGCTGTTCACGCTGCCGCCACACATCAGCAACAACAACAACCACAACTGTTGAGCACCACCACCGCACGCGTCAACAACATCGAGGCTAAGGCCTCAGCAGCGCCAGGCTGCACGACAGACGAGACGAAGCAGCTCAACGGGCGCATCGATCATGTCGTCAATCTCATCGGCGACATAGGTGTTTTCAACGGGCCGGACACGATCAGTAGCACGGTGGCCGCCATCAAGACGAACATCACCAGGCTACAGACGAGACCGGACGCCGCTATGAAGACTTACAAGATGCCGCACTTCGACATCAACAAGTTCGACGACGACAACAAGTCGGACGCCTTGACATGGTGGCAACGTTTCCTCACGGAAGCATCATGCCGCACTGTCCCGGCGGACGACATGATGAAGGGGCTCTACTTGCAACTGATTGGAGGAGCGCAGGCATGGATGAACCATCTGGCGGCTACCAAGAAATGCACCATCGGCGAACTCCACACGCACATTCCGTGGAAGGAGTTCGAGCAACTGTGGTTCACTCGCTTCATGGTCCACAACATTGTGAAGGCGGCGGCCATGAACGAAGTGTACACATGCTCACAAGTGAGTATGCCAACTCGAGACTGGACAACCAACGATCCGAGTTCTTCTCGCGATCATGCGCAGGACTGCGAACCGCACTCGGCAACGAGTACGATTACGCCTCATTCCAGACCATCCTGGATCGTGCGAACTTGGTCATCCAAACGGATGACAAGGCCGCAAACGAACGGCAGTCCCAATCGCATTATGTGGCTAAGCAGGGCTATCAACAACCGACACATAACAATGCCGTGATTTTCGAAGAAACAGTCGATCTCCACGCTGCAGCAACATCCTCGAGTGATGGAGGAATTGTAGCAGCGATCCCGCCGAAGCGTCCCAAGAGAGTTTGGAAGAACAAGGCGACACAAGAGACGACATCGACGGGAACTGGGCAGCAGCCATGGACGGCTTACAAGATAACCAAGGATGTCTATGACCTTCGTCAAAAGTACGGATATTGCCTTTGGTGCAATGGAGTCGCTCATTTGACCGCACAATGCCCCGAAAAGGGCAAGGCACGCGTACCCCGTCCAACAAACTCGGGAAACTAAGTTGCGCAAGGAGAGGGGCGACGTCTCTCCTCACTCCGCTGGACCTGGTTGCCTTGCTAGCAATCGATGTCACTACCGGGGAGCATGCGTTAGTTGCTGATTCTCGTGCTTCGTACGAGGATTATGCCGCCCAGCTGGTACCACCACTAGACCAGCCGAGCCACGTGCACTTAGATCGCGTATGTGCAGCCTGTACACCGTCGGCAAGTGATCCGGTCAGTTCGCCACTGATTTTCGAGGACTCGACGGCGTGGTCAAGACTTGAGGAGCTTGACCCGCTCACGAGAGAGGACTTCGCTTGGATGCCTCTACCCTCGACCGGAACCTTGCCAAGGCCGCATTGCAACGCCTTAATGGCAAATCTACGCTCCTATTTGCACACTACAATACCAACTCCGCTGACGGACGACGGAGTAGCGGTTGTCGATCTCCGCTCCTATCTTGCGAAGATTGACCGCGAGTACGCCACCCAAAGGTACGCCGAAACCGACGCWCCTTTGCTGTATATCCGCATTCAAATCGGAAAGGCAACCTGTAGTGCCTTGATTGATTGCGGAGCGTCTCGCAACTTCATGAGTCAAGCCTTTATGGCCCGCGCAGGCCTTGGCCCGCACGTTCGAAGGAAGACGCAACCTACGCAAGTTACACTCGCGGACGACCGCACGCAAAAGTCAATTGACCGATGCGTCGACGACATTCCGGTATACTTTGCGCCACTTGCGTGCTAGCCGGTGGCTTTTGACATCCTCAACACCAAGTTCGACATGATTCTAGGCATGTCTTGGTTGCGTAGAGCCGATCATCCTGTGAACTTCCACGAGCGAACCGTTCACATCCGTGATCGGAACGGTGTGTTAGTCCCATGTACAGTCGCGACCCTCGAGGAGATGGGCCTTGTATTCTTGCATGCCCTCCCCTCGCCGGACGGACCAGCCGCATCACTCACCTTTTAGATGAGTATGGAGACGCCTTCGAGGTTCCCACCGGAACGGTTCCGGATCAGCCGTCCCTCCGCGTGGATGTATCTACCGCATGAGCGAAGAGGAACTCGAGGTGCTTCGCGCACAACTCGATGACCTTCTCGACAAGGGCTGGATTCGCCCTAGTTGCTCGCCATACGGTGCCCCTGTTCTCTTCGTCCGGAAGAAGAATAAAGATCTACGGTTATGCATCGATTACTGCAAACTTAACGCACAAATCGTAAAGAACGCAGACCCTCTCCCTTGGATTGATGATCTCCTTGAGCGGTTAGGCGTCGGGACGTACTTCTCGAAGTTGGACTTGAAGTCAGGTTACCACCAGATTGAAATCCAACGTCAAGATCGGTACAAGACGACGTTCAAGACGGGGTACGGGCATTTTGAGTGGGTTGTCATGCCCTTTGGCCTCACCAATGCCCCCACAACTTTTCAACCAACTGAGTTTCGTGACTTGCTCGATCGCAGTTCTCATCTACCTCTATGACATCTTGGTCTATCGCAGGACGTTGGACGAGCACATCACACACCTTCGCGCTGTTTTGAATCGTTTGCGATTGGCCAAGTACAAAGCGAACCTCGACAAGTGCGAGTTCGCCAAGCAAGAGCTTGAGTATTTGGGCCACTATGTTACGCTGAAAGGCATTTGTCCCTTAGCGGACAAGATCCAAGCCATCGTGGATTGGCCGGAAGCCCGTTGTACGATGGATGTACGCTCTTTCATGGGTTTGGCTGGATATTATCAGCGATTCGTCGAGTCATACTCGAAAGTGGCCGCTCCTTTGTCGAGACTTCAGTCCCCGAAGGTGCCCTTGGAGTTCGACGACGCAGCCCGTGGCGCGTTCAGTACGTTGAAGGCAGCGATGCAAGCCGCACCTGCCCTCCGTATATACGACCCCACCCTACCCACCCAAGTGACTACGGACGCTTCGGGATACGGTATTGGTGCGGTTTAGGAACAGTGTCACGAGGACGGTTGGCATCCGGTCGAGTATTTCTCCCAAAAGGTGCCTCTCGTCAACACTCTCGACGACGCTAGGAAGAAAGAGTCTCTCGCGTTCGTCACCGTTCTCAAATGGTGGCGCCACTTTCTTCTTGGCCGTCGGCGTTTTAAATGGAATACGGACAACAATCCGTTGACCTTTTACAAAACGCAGGACACGGTCACTAGCACGATCGGTCGATGGATGTATTACATCGACCAGTTCGATTTTG